GGCGGTGAAGCCACCCGGCGCACCTGAGAATGGCATCGGGACGCCTTTCCGGCGCTCTCGGCGCTGCGCTGCTGACCCGGGGGCTGCGCTGCGATCCCGCCCATCGCGCCTTCCGCGGCGGCGCGCGAGCCCCGGGCAGTGTGCGGAGCGCGGGTCCGCGTCCGTCGCCGGGTCCTAAAGCCCGCGAGCCCTCGGCGCCGGGGAGGGCGCAGCAGCGTCTGTCGGACCGCTCGAGAAAGGGAAGTGAAGTCCTGGACCTGCCGTTGTCCCAGCCGGGGCCAGTTTCCCATTAGCTCAGTCCCTCCGGTGTCTGGGGTTTTTACAGACCGTGGGTTCCAGCCCATCTTGGCTGGACACAGCTTTCTGAGCGTTCTGAAGGTCTGACTGGAAATAGTGGGTGCTGTGGCAGTTACATGCCAGCGTTTGCTAGTCAGGATGGACTAGGGCTTCACTTGATGCAGAAGCATAAATGGAGTAGACAGGTGTCCTGGTTTGAGCCAGGATGAAGCCAATTTTTCTTTTTACTGATTTTTTTCCCTTCAGTAAGCTTTCTTGTAACCAGCAACAGTGTGTTCTGCTAGGCTAGTAAGACAGTGGAATGTGTCTCTAACTACTGAGGCTTCAAGGCCACACTTTCACTCTGCCGGCTCAGACACTGTGGGGAGATCTGTGACCCCCCCGTAGGAGGCTGAGTTAGACAGACAGCAAAACTGGCCAAAGATATTCCATTCCATATATCTACGTAAGCTCAGAGGAAGGTCAGAGATCACAGAAGACAACTTCCTTCCTTCTTCTTCTCCCCTTCTCTTCCGTCCATGGCCGGCGTCCGGGCAGGACTCTGTTCATCCATCACCGTCGATCCTCAGGCTCGAGCTCTCCTGACCCCCATAACTCTCTGCTCTGTTCCAGCAGCAGCTCCGGGATTCCTCGGGACTCTTCCCAGTTCAGGGAAGTGCTGTGGGAGTTGCTGGGGTGGGGGGAGGCAAGAGGCTTTTGCCCATACCTGAATATATCTGTATATAATTGTATATATTTTCTTGTATCATTCATTAGTGTTTAATTAAAGCTGTGTAGTTTAGTTTTCAATCCAGCCAAGTCTCTCTCTTTTTTTCTCTCTCCTTCCCTACCTGGGCGGGAGGGGAGGGGATCGAGAGCATTGTTGTCAGACCTGAGTCAAACGTTGACAACAGGGTAGGGGTCTTGGACCACTTTAACGTTTCTCAACATTCCAAGATGACCCCAGTGCTGTTCACAAGGCTGCAAGGGATTTTTCTTGCAGTGCCATTGATGTTCAGCTGTTAGAAACCGCTTGCATCATCCTGGAGGCAGTCAAGTGTTCCTCAATGCTGTGCAAGTTGTGTTTTTCCCCTTGTGAGACTTTTTCCTCTACGAGTTTTCCCCACAGGGCATGCACCCTACAAGCCCTGTCCTCCTATCTCACACCTCTTCTACCTCCATCCCTCTCTCCCTCCCATACTCTGCACTGCCCCACCCCATAACCCCTCTGACTCTAGAACCCCTGGGCTCTGCCTGCACCTCCCACCTACCCGTTGTCCCCCAACCCCTCCAGTTCCCTGCACCCCACTCCTACCCCACTCTGTTGCTTGGTGCCTGACTGGGGAAAAAGATACTGGACAATACATTTGACATTCTTACTTGGCCCTTACAGTAAGTCTGCACCAGGTAAAAAGAACACACAAATCTAAGAAAAAGAACCCACTCAAGGGAGAGCATGCAAAAGTGTACACAGATCCCCATAGACTAAAAAAAATCAACACAAACCACAAAAAAATAGAAGTCAGATTTTACAAAATTCATTAAAATTATTTGATAGCAAGTTAGTAACCGAGATGTCTGCCACATGATGCAGTTCGTTTCAACCACATAATTCATTATATGAAGGTTTCGTATCAATATAAAAAGCCTTAAGATCTTCTGAAGTTGGCCTCAATTTGTTCCAGGGTCTGTCCTTTTGTTTCAGGAACATAAAGGGCTGTAAAAGTTACATTAAGGCAGCAGAAGACAGAGAAAAGCCAGAACGTCCCATAGGGTGTTAAGAAACCCTGAGAGAGGGGAAACAAAAAATTGTTAGGTTTGTATTGCAAAGACTGTGGCTCAAGGCTCTTTCAGGAGCAGCTTTAATAAATTTCCCTATGAGAAGAAACTTCAGATTGTAATTTGTGATGCTTACTATAGAATCATGAAATTCTTTGGTTACCAGGAAGGCCATAACCCAGTTTGTTAACACACAAGCACCACTTGATATGCCTCTGGCTTTAAGTGGGAAGATTTCAGATATCACCAGCCATGGAACAGGACCCCAGCCAAGGGCAAAACCTGCCATTACAAACAGAAGATAAAAAATCCAAGTCAAATACGTATTAAAGGGAAGACAGAACAGTTTCCAAGTTATTAATGTAAAGGGTATGCACTTTTCACTCTAGATTATTTTATGATTCCAGTAAAACAGCACCTCTACTGGAAGAAAAGAGAGCAAGTTTTTTTTAGGGCAGCATGATACAAGCTAGTCCATTTTACATCAAATTAACTCCAAGAATACTCTTAACAAGCAGAACTTCTTGCCGCAGTCTCTGAAGTCATAAGCTTAAAAACTGACCTTGTTTCTAACTGCTGCTGCCTTGTATCCTCAGAGAATTGTGTGACTCAGACACTAATAAAATTTTTCATTAGTGACTGCAAAGCCATAAATTTCACCTGAGCAATTACTACTTAATTTTAGCAAAAGGAGACAAATTCATTTTCCAGGGAAGTGGCTTAACTAGGCTGCTAGTTCTATGACCAGGGTAATAAACACTCAGCCCAACTTTGCATTACACACTGAACAGGACTGTCAAAGACAACTCATTTCCATTAATTGATAATGTGACAAAATGGAACAGAAGTGTCACAAGAATCAGAAACTTGGAGTTTTGTGTAATGGCTACTTAGAAGCCTGTTCTACTTACCAGCAACAAACAGCCCTAGGCTCACTACTGCAAGCCAAGATATGTGGGATACTGTTCCTGGGGATGCTGCATTTAGAGTGAGCCATACATCAGGATTTGATGAGTTGTTTTGATTTGGAAGGACCATTTTAAAGTAAAGCCCAAACAATGCAGTACTGAGTGCCATGATTATCCCTGAAAAGGAAGCAATAACCAAGTTATCACTGGTTGCCACTTGGGCATTCTGAGAGACAGAACATAGTTGGTCAGTCAAAGAGAAGATATGCTGGCCCTCACAGAAGTGTTTCTTAAAATATATTTTTCTTGGAAATAAACACTGGTCTTGAAAGAAGTGAAAGAATTTAGACAAGCCTTCTAAACACTAGCTAAACAATAATCCTGACAGTAGTCAGTACTATTGAGAGTGCAGCAGAACAAATATATCACAACAGATTCTGTTTTCATTAGCACATTTACTCGCAAAGTTAAAAAATGAGTTATATCCTTTTATAACTAAACACCACAATGCACCATGGAAGTAGCAGCAGCCACAGAGAAATTACTTTGAAATAGCAATTGGGTTGACAACATGAGAATGTAGCATGACACTGAACCTTATTAAGCAGAAAAAGAATCACAGTGGTAATTGTCTCAGTGACATAACTATTTCAAAATTAAACTGGTCTAGTAATATGAAGGCAAAAATATAGCCATATGTAGTTTCAGGAGGTTCCACTTAAAATGTGAGACATAAGACATGACAGTTTCTGCTTAAGAGTTTAAGTCTGTAGTTACACCAAATCATAAAGCAAACCACTTTAAATGCATAAATGGCAATACTTAATTACCCCAACAGTTATGACACTTTGGCAAACAAAATTCAGCAACATGTTTTACCAGATGTGTAAAGCAGCACTTTTCGTCCAGTTTTATCTATGATAAGTGCAGCCACAGCAGTGAAACATACTTGTATACAACCCACAACAATGGAAGCCATTCTGCTGTCCTGAAATAGTATGTAGGGAGAATTTGGTCTTTCAGGCTGATGAGGACCACTTGGCAAGCATTGCAAATGCATTTGTTTCTTGAATCTGAAAGAATACAAACTATACCGGAGAACTTAATGGTAGAGAGAGACAACGGGGGATAAGAAGGGAGAAAAAAAAAAAAAAAAAAAGACATCACCAATTAACACAACATACTGGTCTCTTAATAAACTTTAAAATAAGCCACAACTCCCTAGAGGTTCACTTTCTCTGAAATGTAGCATTTGCAACTCTAATTTAAAAAAAAAAATAAATATATATATATATATATATATACAGGAAGCTGACTCTAATATGACTTTCCATCTGTATCAAAGTTTCAGACCAGCAAAATACGATGCACTTCCCCCCCTCCCCTCCAAAAAAACCCCAAAACCAAACAACAATCAAGTGTGCCAAAGTGACATAGTCAAGAGGGTATCTAGAATCCAAATTCAAAAAGCCCACCAGAACACAAACACTGTTATTTATGCCACAGGCAGGATCATTACAAAGTCAGTTTGCTAAGTGTTTTAGATTTATTATAACACTAACTAAGCTGAAACTATTATAGATATCTGTCAGTTTGAAAACACACTCCAAGTACCTTGAAGTTAGCATCTTCAAAGATAGTTTCTGCATAAAACATAACTGCATTAATTCCTGTTACTTGCTGGAAAAACATTAGAGCTGCACCAATAAGAAGAGGCCTGTAGATTGAGGGGTTCTTAAATTCAGAGAGATTCAGTTCCTGTTAAAAAATTAAGTAATGATTTGGTAAAAAAAAAAAAAAACAGCTTTTAAATCAAAGAACAAAACCAACAACAGCAACAAAAAAACCTGCTCAGAACATTTAAATCTGTTCAAACTCAGTAAGTTTTCCACCCCTCCTTCAGCAAAACTAAGTGCTTTAAAAACAGAAATGTTTACATTTCACATATATGAGAACTCCAGAAAGCAGTTTCCCCTTGTCACAGGTTCTAGACAGAAATTACACATGTGTTCAAGGCCAGGCTGGATGGGCCTTGGGACTAGATAATCTTTCAAGTCACTTCCAACCCAAACTATTCTATGAATCTATGCAGTTGACAGTACTTCATAGAGAAAGTTAGCTTGAATGAATCTATGGTTTGCAGAAACTGAACTTCAATGACTTGACAATTTAAGCACACATCTAATGTGTGCTAAATTATGCTTTTAAGAGACAAAAAAGAAAACGCATTCATACAACACAAACAACAGTGGTAGGTGTGTTGAACAATCCTATACAATTTCTAAATAAATCAAATAACTAAATAGCTGTCATATAATTAACAAGATCACAAGCCCAACTGCTACTCAAGCACACTGATGGAAGCCAACAGGGACAGCAATTGCAGATGAAAGGTAGAGAAGAAAGATTCAAAGAACCTCACTTGCTTCTTGACTATCATTTGTATGAAGGATCAGGTTTGGACCATCATTTGTAGAAAAGGCTATTAGCTAAGCTTTGATACAACCCTTTGGATTACACTATATACCTTCACGTGTTATCTCCATACAAAAAGTTTTTAAGAGTAAATCAGATTCTCATCACCTCCTCCTGAATGCTGGCTTCAATCTGACTACATTCCCTGTCATGGTCAGCATGCGGTCCCCGCAGAAAGCACAGGGCAGCTATAGCTTCTGAGTGCCTCTTCTGGCTCAGCAGAAATCTTGGTGTTTCAGGCATGAAGGACATGAACAACAGCATTATGCAGGATGGAAAAGAACACAACAGTGCCAGCCAGCTCCACGTTAGTGCTACTCCTGGGTAACCAAAAGGAAAGAAAGAGGGCTAGGAACATCAATTAGTTGTACAAAACAAAGTAACATTTATTTTCAGCTCTTGGGTGCAGTTCTTTCATTACATGTACTAATTCTTTTTGTAATCTAGAGCCCTAACCCAATACCTGCAACATAGGCTCCCAGTATGCCAGTCACCACCATCAACTGAACACAAGAGCCAAGCATACCACGGACTTTAGGATGAGATACTTCAGATATATACATCTAAAAACAGGGAAAAGAAATCTAATAATTAGGTAATAGGGGGAAAAAAAAAAAAAAAAAAAAAGAAACAACAAACCAACCCCCCTAATGTTATATATAAGGAATTTGAAGAAATAAATACTATTAGACTATAGCAGAACATTAGAAGATACAATCAAATAAAAGACTAATACTCTGAAAGATCACATCACTGTACCAGGAATGCATAACTCAAAAGTACCACTAGAAGGAACAAAAATTGTGTATTTTTCATTATTAAAAACAAGCTAAATATTATTCTATTAAAACCAGTTTCCTCTAAACCCCAAACTGCCTTGGCTACAGTTATTCAGTTGCTTTACCCAAGCCACCAATAATACTGCTATGAAAAAAAGAAACAAAAAAACCACAAACAAACAAACAAGCAACCACAGATGCACACACCCCCAGAGAAACATCTTACTTACTGGAACAACAAGTGAAGTAACTCCACTGGCTAAGCCTGTCAGTATTCGTCCGAAATAAAGCATCCAAACATTCTGAGCAGATATAATAACTACATATCCAAAAACATATGGTATTGAGCACAGCATTAGACTCAGCTTTCTCCCAACTTTGTCCACAACGTAGCCTCCTAGTATTCCTCCAGCAGCAGCTCCTAATGTTACTACTGACTTAAAAAAAAAAAAAAAGTATGACAAGTATATACAAATAAATACATAAAAAACACTCAATGTCTTTTAAAATCTTGAAAAATAAATAGCAGCTTCTAAAATATATGGGAGAGTATGCAGGTGTTTTGAAAATCAAAATACACCTTACCTTCCTCATAAAAACAGTAAAGAAGCACTACTCACCACAACTGAACAGCAAATAATTTTTGTATGACATACAAAGCTCTTTCAGTGAATAAAAAAATAGCAGTAACTGTTTCTTAATCTATCTACAAAGCTGTCCATTCACAGGCCTTTCAAACTGTCTCAATGCCCTGAAGAATTTATCTTCACTAACCTGAAATCCAGCCTGTATCCAAAAAACAAATATTCCCCATGTTGATGGATCATACTGATTTATTTACAAGTTTCTTTTCTGTGGTCCCTTAGCAGCTTCAATTGAGAAACATGAGAATGATTAGAAGGCATTTTAGCTCCAAAAATAGGTTCAAATAATAGAGGTATTTATTAATATATGCTGAAAGTAATCAGAGCATCACAGCACTGCTACACAGGAAAAATAGGAACCCATCACTGAGTTTAGAAAAAAAATTTGATTTCATTATTAAGATCTGCATTTACCCTCACTCTTGAGAGGAGTAAGTCCCCATCATACAAGCAGCATCTTCTTGCCCTATGCTTTCAAGTGAAATCACGTTAATCCACCGTAGAGACCTACCCCAAACCACGACGCTTGATCGCTGTCCAGTCTTAATTTAGGATCGTTGATTTTCCTCAACTCTGGAATAACAGGTGAGCTATAGCCTAGCACAAAGCCAAAGCTAAGCGGTCCCAGAACAGCAGCAAACGTGGCAAGGAACAGCTTCTTGTTCTGGACTCTGAAGCAGAAGAAGCCGACAAGGATCACGCTGGCCCCACCTCCCGCTTCTGGCCCCAGCTCCAGCCCCTCAGGTGGGCCTGGGAGAGGGCTCGACCCCGAACTCGCTCCGGCCGCGTCCCGCTATCGACTGCGGCCAGCTCCAGGGCAGTCAGCGCTGCCTCAGAGCCCACCAGAGATGCGGGTCGCGGCGGCAGGCTCACCTCGCGTAGGATTCCGCAGCGGGGCACCCCAGCAGGTAGCGAGACTCCTCCGCAGCCATGCCCGCCCGCGGGAAGCGCCTCAGCGCAACCGGCCGGCGCGCCTCTCCACCCGGCACTCGGGCAG